CCGAACAGAATTCTCAGGACGCTCCTAGAAAAAACATGCGCCAGGAGACGCCAAAGACAACTCGCTCGGCGCCTGCCAAGAGTGGGCGTAAGGCGTCACCAAAAAAGGTGTCCAAGGACCCCAAGAAGGGTGGTAAGGACAAACCCAGAGCTGCGTCAAAGGTGACCAAAGCACCCAAGGCGTCCGGTGCGACCAAGATGCCAGCAAAGGAAGCGCGTAGAGCGCCCAAGGAAGCGGTAGTTCCCAAGGAAGGGCCCGCAACGCCCAAGGCAGCTCTGAATGCACTTGATGCAGCGCATAAGGAAGCCAGACCAGTCAACGCACTGGATGCAGCAACTAAACAGGCGTCCAAACTTGACAAAGCACCAGACAAGGAGCCCCAAGCGGCGCCCGAGGACTCGCCCCAGGAGCCCAAGGCAGCGGCCAAAGCTCCCGAGGCGCCCAAGAAGAAAGGGATGTTGCCAAAGCCCAAGATGGTACCAGCTTCTAAGGCGGCCCCGAAAGAGGTCGCCAAAGCAGCACCGAAGGCAGCTTCTGAGGTAACAACGGCGCAGACCAACAAGGATGTGCCCAAGGTGTCGAAGGCGCCAAACAAGTCGGTGCTGAAGCAGCTGCAGGCTCCCGAGGCAGCCCCCAAAGAGGTCCCCAGAGCAGCGCCGAAGGCAGCTTCTGAGGTACCAACGGAGCAGACCAACAAGGATGTGCCCAAGGTGTCGAAGGCGCCAAACAAGTCCGTTCTGAAGCAGCCGCAGGCTCCCGAGGCAGCCCCCAAAGAGGTCTCCAGAGCAGCGCCGAAGGCAGCTTCTGAGGTACCAACGGAGCACACCAACAAGGTGTCCAACGCGTCGAAGGCGCCAAGCGAGGCGGTGCCAAAGCAGCCCGCACAGGCTCCCGAGCAGGCGATGATTTTGAAGAGGGCTAAGGTGTAGGATTTATTGTAAGCAATTTTAAAAGCACTACAGGGCATATCGGGAAGGTGTGAAAAGATGTTTGAGCTCAAGGCTCAGAGATGGCCCGCGCGCCCGAATGGTCAGTAATGAGCCGGGGTCGGTTGAAAAATGTCATGCAGGTATCATACGCCGTCGTGTTACAATGCTTCGAGGATCATTTGCATTACATGTTTCTTCTCTCCCTTGACATCATGCACAAACCGTGCTTTGGACTCAGCTTGAAAGACAGTGAAGAGGCTGTGAATACTTTGGCGTTGGAGGTTTCCAGAGCTTTCGGGGGATTCTGCTTCTTGCGACGCCCGAGCAAGGGATTTTGACCTTTCAGTTTGCACCGCCCAGGCCGCCAAAGGGATGTAACTGCAGATGCAGGAAGGCATCGTGCTATTCATATGAGGGATATAATGATATATGGGGACATAAGAGGATTTCAGGGATTTTCTGGAAGGGAGCTATTTTTTAGATCTTTTGAGGGTCCGGGTTTTGCACTGCCAAAGGCCAAGGAGGAGGAGCTCCAGACAACGCTTCGAGTGCTCAAGCGCAAGCTGGGCACTCAGAGAGGAGAGTATTTTTAAATACTCCCATTGTGTTTGTTAGAAGAGGGGTGTGTGTGTGTATATACATATATATATATATACATTATCAGTTCGCGCGACTTGTCATTGCAGTAAAGGGATATTCCTGCTGCCCTGAATTTCCTGTGACTTTAACCGCACAGCCGTGAGGACCTGATTGCCGGGGACTTGGATTCGCGAAAACCTGTGCAAGCCAGCCGTCTCCACTCGAAACCTTGGTTATCACATCTAGAAGTTGGAACTTCAACCCCACGAAGCGCGAGATTGTGCCCTCTCAAGCGCTGGACCGCAAACGCTTAGGCTGCTCGGCGACAGCGCCATCCTGACAACAACTGGCGTCGTCGCAGGGCCGCAGCCAGATAACACCAATTCCTCAAGGGCATTATCCTGAGGAGTTCTTGGGCGCAAGTTTTTAATTCCCTGCCATCCTCAGCCCCTCAACTTGAAATTCGCGGTCTCCGAGTCATCATTCAGTAATATTCAGTATATATGTCTCGCATTTGTTGTAAGCATTCGTCAGGTGTGTTGTGGTTTCGTGCCTCCTAGAGACTTGCTTGTTTGCAATCGTAGGTGCTTTCTATGGATTCTGTGTTGAGCCTTGGATTCGACTGTAGGCTTGAACACAAGGCCTGGTTTTAAAGGGTTGCCATAAATTCCAAGTACATAAATAGCTACACCATGAATTGGCAATGTTGTGTAAGCCCTTTCCTCGTGGGCTGGAGAATGCTGGGCAGACTAGCATAGTCCTAGAACCTCAACTCAACCAAATCCTCATCATTCTTCAGCCTCATGAGTGCTCTTATGCTCAAGTTTCGAGACCTGGGTTGGCCTTTAAATAGACTCTGTACTACAAGAGCATATAGGAGCCGCATCTGCACCAGAAGGAATGTCCCTAGGAAAAAACATGAATCTTGGGTATGGCAGAGTGTCCAGAAGCTAGTCTCACAATAATGCTCAGCTTGCTTAGAAATATTCGCGGAACAATAGAACAGCAACTGCAAGCTCTTGCTTCATCGTTCTCCGTGTGACTCTTTAGCTGCAGCTGTGGTTTTCCACAGCGCACCCCGCCACTGTTAAAACTGTCTAGGATCTGGTTTCCCTTACCGCGTAGCTCTCAGACCCGAGGGGGACACTCGCAACTACCCCATCTGAGACCCCAGAGCAACAAACAGCCTTAAATATTCTTGCGCAGGGAACCCATTCCCATCCAAAGATTAAGCAGTATACACCCAGCCATGCAAGAAAATCACTCCTCCAAACATTTTCAAATGCGATTCGCTGCGACCTTCTTGAGGCGAAGCTCCAGAGCAAACTGGAGCGGCCAGTGCCAGAGATTTCGGTTCAGGGTTTTCAGGAGTTTTGGAGATGGTGGGTTCAAGACATGGGGTGTAGGGCTCAGGGTTTACGGTTTAAGGTGTGGGATTGTAGTGAGCGGGGTTTGGGTTTGGAGGGCTGGGGTCTTGAGTGAGTACATGTTTGGTGGTTCAAGGTCAGGCCTGTGGCTTGGGGTGTTTCCTGGACACTCAGGTGCTATGATTCGTAGTAGCAGGGATGATGTAGCACTGATAACTGTGATGAAAAGTGGTTCTTTCTTTTGTTGAAAGCAGTAGATATCCGGAAATACTAGACATGTAGATGAAGTTCTGAGGGTTGCTTTTTGTCTTGGGCTTCAACTGAAGTCAATCACCGAAGAATGAACTCCGGTCTCCTTCCTCCATCAAGAAAGAACCTTGAAGATTTATCTCCTGCATCCAGGCAGCAGCATAACCAGCCAAGTTACGCCCTAAGAAATCAGTATCAGTTGTATAAAGCATGCCCTGAATTTAGGCTTCAAACATGCCCTCATTCCCCGCGAGCAAAAGGCCTCTCCTCTCGGCCACAAAAATTCTCGAAGCTAGACCCTCCTGAACACATTTTCATTTTCACGCGTTCAACGCGATTGGCCCCTCAACTTGGGGGTTTACCAAAATTAGGGTATCGGGTTGTAAGGGGGGGTTATACAGGGGTTATATAGGGATATATAGGCTTTAGGGTTTACTGAAATTAAGATGATCGGCCACGAGGCTCAACCTGGAGCTCAAGCACTTCAAGAATGCAGAGAGCGAACTCAAGGTCTGGGTGCCTTGGGCACTTTGCGCATTTTGGGGAGAATATGGGGTGTGTGTGGGGATCTTAGTATAACATGCCCACAGCCATGTTCTATCTACTGAAGGGGGGCTATAGCTGAAGGGGAGTGAGCCCAGGGTAAAGCTTTAACAAGATCCCTCAGAAGCTCTGGTGTGTATGAAGCTGTTCTTCAGTATCAACTAGAAGCCATGAGGCTAGGAGCCGACTCGGAGTAGGTTGGGAAGGACTTCCCCTAAGGTGGTGCAAATTAGTTCAACCTTTACACCCGAATCGCTAGACTAACTTCTAAACAAACCGGCGACCCTACCTTATCAACCCTGAACTGCTAGCCCAAATCCACTGGGTTCTTGGCCAAACACATCCTTGCTGGCTCGTGTGCGGCTGAATCCTTAGACATTTTGCTATGGAGCACATCCTTGAGCGCTTCCCCCTGTACGTCCTAGCTTCGCAAGAAGTGCCTGCAACCGACGCAAGTACTCCCTCAAGGTTCCTAATAAACCTCAGAACATTCCCCCCAATTCACATGTTCTCAAAGAATTGTTATCCTGAACCCTGCAAGCCTAGACATTCACTTTTGGACGGAAAGCCTGCAACACCAGCCGTTGGTCTTTGAAGCCTAAGTCCTCCACCCCAAGTTCCTCAACCCCCCAGCCTGTATAACCTGAGCACACAGCACTCTAGACGCCTAAAACCTGCATCTCTAAAAACCAACAAATCCCCAACCTGAAGCCCTAAATCCTGCGCTCCTAACTGGTTCCTAAACGCCCCAGAGCCCCTAAGACCCTCCCTAAACCCTAAACTCAAACCCCAAAACCCAAAACCCTAAACCCTAAGCCCTAAACCCTAAAGCCCTAAACCAACCTTTGGTTCCTGCTGGAGGAACGCTGTTCGTTGGCAGTCTCCGAGCTGGAGGCTGCCAAGGTGAAGCGACAAAAGTTTGAGGAGGCCATACTTGGGATACTAGGGTAGTATTGGGGTTATATTGGGATAGTGGAGAATAAAATGGAAACTACTACAATGGGTTATATAGGGTATATAATATTGGGTTTATATTGGGGTAGTATAGGGGATAATGGAAAAGAAAATGGAAACTACAGGGATTATATGGGGTTTACATAGGGATTATAGGGATTATATGGAGGAGAGTGGAAAAGAAAATGGAAACACCCCAATAATGGAGAATCAAATGGAAAAGAAAATGGAAAATGAAATGGAAACTGGGATTATCATGTGTTATATTAGGGTTATATAGGGTTGTATAGGGGATAATGGAAAAGAAAATGGAAACTACCATAGGGTTCAGGGTTTAAGGTTTAGGGTTTGGGTTTTGGGGTTTGAGTTTAGGGTTTATTGGGATAATGGAAAAGAACATGGAAACTACAGGGATTATATGGGGTATATGTAGGGATTATAGGGATTATATGGGGTTTATTTAGGGGATAATGGAAAAGAACATGGAAACGACTATTTGGGGCTTAGGGTTGAAGGATTTGAAAAGAAAACAACAGTTACCATTCAGGGTTTGAGGCTCAGTTAGGAGTTAAGGAGTGCAACAGAAAATGAAAACTTCTTCTACTGTCAAATGGAAACTGGGCTTATATAGACGTGTATGTAGGGTCCTAATAATTTTTCAAGAGTGGAGAATCAAATGGAACATCACATGGATTGTGACATGGACAGTGGGATAGTACTATATACACCTGGAAACTAAGAGGGGAACTGGGGTTATGGGAAGTTGGGATGAAGAGTTTGCTTACTGGTTGTTAGTAGGGAATAGATGAGCCATTGGGAAAGAACTTGACAACTAGGGAAAGAACACAACAAATCCTTTGTTAGTGGGGTCATATAGGAATTACTACAGGGACCCATTCCCCTTTCCCGACGAATCACCAGGAAGCTTTTGCATGTTGGAGTGAAGTTTTGTGAATGTTGGGGTTTTGGGATAGGTGTGTTCTGGTTCGGGGAGGTTAGGGGTTAGGCTTTTTTGGGTGGTCATATCTGGAACCTCGTATGTGGTAGAGCTGTACAGGCGGCTTGTTTAGTTGGACCACATCAGTGTCGCGCTCTTGCATGGGGCCATATGCTGTGCATGGTAATGTAGACCCATGATTAATAACTCCCCTCCTTTTAAGGGCCTTAATATTAGGATGACGATTGTAATCCTGGTTAGGGGAAGGGGGTTTGTTAATCAGGGGTCTACATTAGCTAGAGGACCCTACAGGGCTGGTACAGGGCTTTGCTTTTGCCTCC